TGTGAAGGGTGTACCCCTACAATGAGACACTTCTGTATGACATATAACCCTTGAATTGTGTGAGGTTGTCCTCCGAAAAGAGAAATACTACGTTATGACATATAACTCTTCACTTGTGTGAAGAGTGTCCCCCTACAATGAGACACTACTGTATAACCATCTTGACTTGTGTGAAGGGTACCCCTACTTTGAGACACTACTGTATAACCATCTTGACTTGTGTGAAGGGTACCCCTACTTTGAGACACTACTGTATAACCATCTTGACTTGTGTGAAGGGTACCCCCTACTTTGAGACACTACTGTATAACCATCTTGACTTGTGTGAAAGGTACCCCCTACTTTGAGACACTACTGTATAACCATCTTGACTTGTGTGAAGGGTACCCCCTACTTTGAGACACTACTGTATAACCATCTTGACTTGTGTGAAGGGTACCCCCTACTTTGAGACACTACTGTATAACCATCTTGACTTGTGTGAAGGGTGTCCCCCCTACTTTGTGTAGGTCCCCTACTTTGAGACACTACTGTATAACCATCTTGACTTGTGTGAAAGGGTACCCCCTACTTTGAGACACTACTGTATAACCATCTTGACTTGTGTGAAGGGTACCCCCTACTTTGAGACACTACTGTATAACCATCTTGACTTGTGTGAAGGGTCCCCCCTACTTTGAGACACTACTGTATAACCATCTTGACTTGTGTGAAGGGTACCCCCTACTTTGAGACACTACTGTATAACCATCTTGACTTGTGTGAAGGGTCCCCTACTTTGAGACACTAGTCCCCTACTTTGAGACACTACTGTATAACCATCTTGACTTGTGTGAAGGGTACCCCCTACTTTGAGACACTACTGTATAACCATCTTGACTTTGTGTGAAGGGTATAACCATCCCCCTACTTTGAGACACTACTGTATAACCATCTTGACTTGTGTGAAGGGTCCCCTACTTTGAGACACTACTGTATAACCATCTTGACTTGTGTGAAGGGTACCCCCTACTTTGAGACACTACTGTATAACCATCTTGACTTGTGTGTGAAGGGTCCCCTACTTTGAGACACTACTGTATAACCATCTTGACTTGTGTGAAGGGTCCCCCTACTTTGAGACACTACTGTATAACCATCTTGACTTGTGTGAAGGGTACCCCTACTTTGAGACACTACTGTATAACCATCTTGACTTGTGTGAAGGGTCCCCTACTTTGAGACACTACTGTATAACCATCTTGACTTGTGTGAAGGGTCCCCTACTTTGAGACACTACTGTATAACCATCTTGACTTGTGTGAAGGGTCCCCCTACTTTGAGACACTACTGTATAACCATCTTGACTTGTGTGTGTGAACTTTGAGACACTACTGTATAACCATCTTGACTTTGTGACACCCCTACTTTGAGACACTACTGTATAACCATCTTGACTTGTGTGAAGGGTCCCCCTACTTTGAGACACTACTGTATAACCATCTTGACTTGTGTGAAGGGTCCCCCTACTTTGAGACACTACTGTATAACCATCTTGACTTGTGTGTGAAGGGTCCCCTACTTTGAGACACTACTGTATAACCATCTTGACTTGTGTGAAGGGTACCCCTACTTTGAGACACTACTGTATAACCATCTTGACTTGTGTGAAGGGGTCCCCCTACTTTGAGACACTACTGTATAACCATCTTGACTTGTGTGAAGGGTCCCCCTACTTTGAGACACTACTGTATAACCATCTTGACTTGTGTGAAGGGTCCCCTACTTTGAGACACTACTGTATAACCATCTTGACTTGTGTGAAGGGTGTCCCCCTACTTTGAGACACTACTGTATAACCATCTTGACTTGTGTGAAGGGTCCCCTACTTTGAGACACTACTGTATAACCATCTTGACTTGTGTGAAGGGTCCCCTACTTTGAGACACTACTGTATAACCATCTTGACTTGTGTGAAGGGTGTCCCCCTACTTTGAGACACTACTGTATAACCATCTTGACTTGTGTGAAGGGTCCCCTACTTTGAGACACTACTGTATAACCATCTTGACTTGTGTGAAGGGTGACCCCCTACTTTGAGACACTACTGTATAACCATCTTGACTTGTGTGAAGGGTACCCCTACTTTGAGACACTACTGTATAACCATCTTGACTTGTGTGAAGGGTGTCCCCTACTTTGAGACACTACTGTATAACCATCTTGACTTGTGTGAAGGGTGTCCCCTACTTTGAGACACTACTGTATAACCATCTTGACTTGTGTGAAGGGGTCCCCCTACTTTGAGACACTACTGTATAACCATCTTGACTTGTGTGAAAGGGTCCCCCTACTGTATAACCATCTTGACCATCTTGTGTGAAGGGTCCCCCCTACTTTGAGACACTACTGTATAACCATCTTGACTTGTGTGAAGGGTCCCCTACTTTGAGACACTACTGTATAACCATCTTGACTTGTGTGAAGGGTGTCCCCTACTTTGAGACACTACTGTATAACCATCTTGACTTGTGTGAAGGGTGTAACCCCTACTTTGAGACACTACTGTATAACCATCTTGACTTCTGTGAAGGGACTTTGAGACACTACTGTATAACCATCTTGACTTGTGTGAAGGGTCCCCTACTTTGAGACACTACTGTATAACCATCTTGACTTGTGTGAAGGGTGTCCCCTACTTTGAGACACTACTGTATAACCATCTTGACTTGTGTGAAGGGGTCCCCCTACTTTGAGACACTACTGTATAACCATCTTGACTTGTGTGAAGGGTGTCCCCTACTTTGAGACACTACTGTATAACCATCTTGACTTGTGTGAAGGGTATAACCCCCTTGACTTGTGTGAAGGGTACCCCCCTACTTTGAGACACTACTGTATAACCATCTTGACTTGTGTGAAGTATAACCATCTTGGACTTGGGTCCCCCTACTTTGAGACACTACTGTATAACCATCTTGACTTGTGTGAAGGGTGTCTTGACCCCCTACTTTGAGACACTACTGTATAACCATCTTGACTTGTGTGAAGGGTGTCCCCCTACTTTGAGACACTACTGTATAACCATCTTGACTTGTGTGAAGGGTGTCCCCTACTTTGAGACACTACTGTATAACCATCTTGACTTGTGTGAAGGGTACCCCCTACTTTGAGACACTACTGTATAACCATCTTGACTTGTGTGAAGGGTCCCCTACTTTGAGACACTACTGTATAACCATCTTGACTTGTGTGAAGGGTCCCCTACTTTGAGACACTACTGTATAACCATCTTGACTTGTGTGAAGGGTCCCCCCTACTTTGAGACACTACTGTATAACCATCTTGACTTGTGTGAAGGGGGTCCCTACTTTGAGACACTACTGTATAACCATCTTGACTTTGTGTGAAGGGGTCCCCCTACTTTGAGACACTACTGTATAACCATCTTGACTTGTGTGAAGGGTACTTTGAGACCCCTACTTTGAGACACTACTGTATAACCATCTTGACTTGTGTGAAGGGTGTCCCCCTACTTTGAGACACTACTGTATAACCATCTTGACTTGTGTGAAGGGTCCCCTACTTTGAGACACTACTGTATAACCATCTTGACTTGTGTGAAGGGTACCCCCTACTTTGAGACACTACTGTATAACCATCTTGACTTGTGTGAAGGGTCCCCCCTACTTTGAGACACTACTGTATAACCATCTTGACTTGTGTGAAGGGTCCCCTACTTTGAGACACTACTGTATAACCATCTTGACTTGTGTGAAGGGTACCCCCTACTTTGAGACACTACTGTATAACCATCTTGACTTGTGTGAAGGGTCCCCCTACTTTGAGACACTACTGTATAACCATCTTGACTTGTGTGAAGGGTACCCCCTACTTTGAGACACTACTGTATAACCATCTTGACTTGTGTGAAGGGGTCCCCCTACTTTGAGACACTACTGTATAACCATCTTGACTTGTGTGAAGGGTGCCCCCCTACTTTGAGACACTACTGTATAACCATCTTGACTTGTGTGAAGGGTCCCCCTACTTTGAGACACTACTGTATAACCATCTTGACTTGTGTGAAGGGGTCCCCTACTTTGAGACACTACTGTATAACCACTTGACTTGTGTGAAGGGTGACTGTATAACCATCTTGACTTGTGTGAAGGGTCCCCCTACTTTGAGACACTACTGTATAACCATCTTGACTTGTGTGAAGGACACTACTGTAACCATCTTGACTTGTGTGTGTCCCCTACTTTGAGACACTACTGTATAACCATCTTGACTTGTGTGAAGGGTGTCCCCTACTTTGAGACACTACTGTATAACCATCTTGACTTGTGTGAAGGGTGTCCCCCTACTTTGAGACACTACTGTATAACCATCTTGACTTGTGTGAAGGGTACCCCTACTTTGAGACACTACTGTATAACCATCTTGACTTGTGTGAAGGGTGTCCCCCTACAGTGAGACACTACTGTATAACCATCTTGACTTGTGTGAAGGGTACCCCTACTTTGAGACACTACTGTATAACCATCTTGACTTGTGTGAAGGGTGTCCCCCCTACTTTGAGACACTACTGTATAACCATCTTGACTTGTGTGAAGGGTCCCCTACTTTGAGACACTACTGTATAACCATCTTGACTTGTGTGAAGGGTGTCCCCCCTACTTTGAGACACTACTGTATAACCATCTTGACTTGTGTGAAGGGTCCCCCCTACTTTGAGACACTACTGTATAACCATCTTGACTTGTGTGAAGGGTGTCCCCCTACTTTGATACACTACTGTATAACCATCTTGACTTGTGTGAAGGGTACCCCCTACAGTGAGACACTACTGTATAACCATCTTGACTTGTGTGAAGGGTGTCCCCCTACTTTGAGACACTACTGTATAACCATCTTGACTTGTGTGAAGGGTCCCCCCTACTTTGAGACACTACTGTATAACCATCTTGCCTCCAAATTGTAATAATGGCATAGAAAACATAACAAATACATTTTTGTTCAAGTTTTGCAGCTTGTGAGCATTTATTGACAACAAAAGTCTACACAAAAACAATCCCACTAGATGACAATGACAACAGTTTGACAATGAGGGGCTCAAAGTTAGTTGAAAGATATCAGAGCTATAGACACATAGACTTCTTCAAATCAACAGGCTCAGACACTCTGAGAATAAATATATATATAATATGTATATATCACAATTCAAAAATATAATTATCATGGATATTGTGTATTTCAGTTGAGAAGAGCCTTTCAAAGTAGATATCCAAGTCAAATTATATTGAAATTCAACATGATCACAGCAGCGTGGAAAAGAGGTACCAGTCCTTAACATCATTAGTCAATCAAGGGTTGTCTCCCTTTCATCACAAACTTTATTTCATAGAGTAACAAAATGTAACAGAACAACATTCTTTACTTGAAATTGATCAACAAAATAATGACTCTTCAACCATTTGAGAGGGAAAGGGGAACAGTTAGTGGGAAAACATTACATAACGACTTGTTGTTCTTATCTTCCACAGTTGTTCATTACCATATTTTTTCTAACTGTAAATATACCCAAATCTTTCATTCTGAGAATACACAGTCTCATCTCTGCAGTCTTATTATATTTTCCATATTGATTCACTGCTTATAATCAGAACAATAACAGAGCATGATACTCTATTTTCAGAAAAAGAAGAAAACTTTACAGATCATTAAAGAAAATATATAGTCACAGGATATTGAATCTAGTCAAAAACTTTATATCTTTACGATTGTTTGAGTGCAAGACTTTTGATGCTCAATATGTTGAATATCTACAAAGAAAAACAAAACCTTTTAAAAACTACCAAGGAAAGAAAATAATAAACAGTGGTACATGCACCAAAGATATTGCACTTGCATTTATGTTTGGTTATTTTCCAGTGTTCGTAAATTATCTTAAAATACTTCAAATAAAAATAAAATTTCAAAAATAAATAATATACTTAAATGATGATACTAGCATGATACGGAATACCATGACACAGTCGACATGAAAGATGTTGCAATCGGACACTGATTGACATGACATACTTTAAATAGTATAGACCACTCATAACATGGGGGGGGATGCCTACAGATTTGTTCAACACATCCAAAAATAGATAACAATATTAAAACAATAACATCAAGCATAGGGTGGCTACAAATTAAGGATACATCTAGTTGTTATTTTTCATCTCCTTAAAATCCAACTCCTTGATCAATGTTGAAATAAATATTCTATCAAATCAGTTATTTCGTGACATGAACAGAAAAAAGTTCTGTAGGGAATTTAAAATGTTAATTTCTAAATATGATCGCCTGTTTTAAGTAGATTCGAGTGCTACCATGTAAACACTTAAGTACTTGGTGAGAATATTTCAAGAATTCTCGCAACTCTCATGAAAACAACAGGCTGTTTAGCGCCCAGTTCTTCAATACAGTCTACACAAAGATGATGGAGCTCTACCCATCTGATCACAGTTCTCGACCCTGCAGGGGGATTTAACTGAAGACATTTTTCAGTGTGTCTGGTACTAGGACAACAGCACCTATTCTGTTGACCAACCATGGTGGGTATAGTTATATCTGTGAGTCGGTAGTTTAGTTTCGTGTGTAACGTGTTCGGTACTCATTGGGGCAGGGCTTTCAGAATTGCATGCACCTCCTCTGCAACAGCTGCCAGGGAAAATTGGAACTGCTCCTGGAAACAAAAAATAATTAAAAATTATGAGCAAACACTTTAAAGAAAAATATTCATGAATTATTTTCTGAGCTTTATAAGTCATTTCTTATACACACATATAGATATCATTACGTCAAAAGTATCAACAATCACTGGATTGTCTGGTCCAGACTTGATTATTCACAGACCGCCACCATACAGCTGGAATACTGCTGAGTTCGGAGTTAAACAACAACCAACCAGTTTGATTAGCATTCAGTAAAATTTGTAATGTAAATCAAGTCAAAATATTGATGAAACTTTGAAAAAGTCTATTGATCTTTTTTTTAAATTTCAAACAATACATTTTAATAGGGTTTCTTTCAGTTACTATAATAAACAGTGAATGGGGAAAGTTCCAATTGCATTCAAGGGGAGATAAACATGAGGTTTTGAAAGGTTGTCTCCCTTACCTTAGTTTTCACCATTCCCATTCTCTGGTCACGGATGTGTTCAAGGGTGGCAGCCATGTCTATCTCCTTTGCACCTGTAACAAACATGTATATTCTCTTCATATACAGTACAACAAGAAATTATTGAGAATTTAAAGATTGTAAATTTTATATTTTTTTTCAATCATTACTCAGGTATTAAATGTGAATATTAGCAGAACATAACTCCAGATTCAAAGACAGGTGAACAGTTAGTACTTTGTCAAGTCACCATGGGCAGCAATGCAGGCTTCAATGCGGCACGGGGCATACTACTGATCAAAGAAGTTAGAAAGTCGTGGTCCATATATCGGACCACCTCTTCTTTCATTTCAGCAATATTTGTCATATTTTTGTTATTGACACTTTCCTTCATAAGTCCCCAAACATTTTCTATTGGATTTAGGCCAGGGCAATAGCTTGGCCAATCTAATAATGTCATATTTTGGGTCCAAAACCAGGCCTGTGAATGCTTTGAACGATGTTTTGGGTCGTTGTCCTGCTGGAAAATCCAAACATTTCCATAGAACACGTGACCAGATGGAAGTAAATGTCCTTCGAGAATATCTGTGTACCGCTCACTGTTCATATTCCCTTCAAATACACAGTGGTGCGTTGCCCCTAACACAGATATGCCATCCCACACGTTAAATTTCGGCGCTTGGGTGCTGATACAAAGGTTTTTCAGTTTGTTTGGTCCAGAATTTCAGTGTATTAGGAAACAGCCACACAGACCTTTCATCTGAGAAAATCACATTGTCCCAGTTAAAATTTCTATGCTGTAAGCACCAGTTCAACCTTCGCTCTTTTTGTTCAGGTTTCATGATCGGTAATGGAATTCCTAGACTTTTCTGCCATTTGCCCATTGCATGCAGCTCAGTTCTAATTGTCTCCTTACAGACAGTCACAGTTCCTCTATCAATCATATCCAGCCTTAAGTTTTCTAAAACTCCTTCGTTTGTTTTTAGAAACAAGAATACAAAGCCGCCTCCTGTCACCGACAGTCCATTTTCTGGGCCTACCTGGGCCTCCCTGGTGCTCAATGCCATATCCATTTGCAATATTTTTCAAAACACGATAAACAGTGGACAAAGGGATGCCTGTTCTACTTCAAATCACTTTAGCTGATCTTATGTCCTTGTTATAATACTCTAAAATCAACTTCCTCTTCCCTAAATCATCCATACTGAGGATCACTGAAAATGTCGTCTGCTAGCAAGTAAACAAAGGGGGATAACTCTTCACAAACTAATGAAAAAGGATTAACGGAGTTGTCTCTCTTGAATGAAACCAAGCACTTGATAGCTGGTCAAGGTTGTTTATACTAGAAATCCAATTAAACATATTCCTAAAATTCTCAATAATTTCTGGTCATACTATCCGTTTTACACAAACTGCAATACATAACACTGTTTTACACCAAGCAGTCAGCAGCTCAGTATATCTTCATGTGAATGAAACAGTAGCCTTGACCATCATAAGTATTTCAATTTCAGCCTAGCCCTCCCTGAACCACCTTACTTTCCCTACTGCCTAGTGCTCCCTGCAATATAGTCTGTCTTACAGTCCCTGAACCACCTTACTTTCCCTACCGCCCAGCCCTCCCTGCATTATAGTCTGTCTTACAATCCCTGGACCACCTTACTTTCCCTACTGCCCAGCCCTCCCTGCAATATAGTCTGTCTCACAGTCCCTGAACCACCTTACTTTCCCTACTGCCCAGCCCTCCCTGCAATATAGTCTGTCTCATAGTCCCTGAACCACATTACTTTCCCTACTCCCTAGCCCTCCCTGCAATGCTAAAACCCTAAATGAAGCAAGTCTATATTTCACTAGGTTCAGGCTCCCAACTCACTGGGGCTCGGCCTTTCAATTTCAATGGGTTTATTTGTTACCATCAAAATGATATATTTTCAGGGACTAAGCGTTACTGTAATCAACCTGCTGTAACCACTCACACTGCCTCAGACTCCCCACAGTAACTGTGTAGCCAGAATAACATCATTCATATGTTGTTGTTTCAAAACTGCATATATATGTAGCTTTCAGCACTACTGAATATTGCAGATACATTCTGAAATGGAAATTTTTAAAAATATGTACCTTTAGCCATTCTGTTCAAGACCATGTCGATGAGGCAATATGTTCCAGTCCGTCCACATCCATCACTAAAATGACAAAATTATCAAACTATATTTCTGGGGAAATGATACATATGTCAGTCAAATATTGCTGACAACTGAGCCATAATCATGCTTATATGGTGACTTTCAAGGTCATTTTTAGCATTAAAGCATGATTTGCCATGTTGAATCTGACATGAAGGCAAAGACCCACATGTCTGCCAAGTGTTAGATTTCAGCAGTTTCATTTGGAATTGATCAAACAGTAAAGAAGGAATCTCTTAGTATTTTCTTGCATAAAATTGTGACAGATGTTTTAATCGATACCAATTTGCTTGTCGAATCAAATGCATAGAAATACAGGATTGACAATTGCTTTTTTTATGCCTTTATTACATCTTTCAATACCTTGCATGAGCTTACATAATGATATTTTAACCTGTCGTCAATGTATTCCACTGAGCAATTGTATCAAGTCAAAGCCCTTCTGAGAAGCACAAATGCATGAACTATAGATAGTTGCAAAATATATAATACCAATGCTAGCTCTGAAGATCTTTTTAAAATGAATTATCTGTAACATTTGTGTCAAATGTTTGTTACTTCCGCTCATAAAAGACAAGTTAATAGTCTCCAATAGAAGTATATTTACCTGCAGTGAACCACAATTGGGCAGGAGCGACCTCTATAAGACTTGTTCACCTTCCTGCAATGGCAAACACACAAAGCACATAAGTCACAACTGAAACCATATCCAGCAACATCCTGTCTGTCCAACATGTTCAAAACTCATTCTCCAGGACACTGAAACTGAAATTGTCCAGAATTATCAGTGATATAACATTGACATAGTTACCAACTGAAATAACAACTAGGATTAGTACCGGTACATGTAAATCATCTGTCATATTCAAAAACCAAATGTTCATATAATTAAAATTTGCAGCAATGAAAAGCTGGTTAGAGAAAGTTTGTCTGACTTCATTAAATATGTTTCAGTATTGAAAATGAGGTTTACGTCTAGTGAAAACTGAATTGACAACTAACATGTATACCTTATATATTTGTCCCTTCTTAAGTAAGATCTACTGTAAGTTGGCACAAAATCTACAAATGATGTATTTGATCATAATACAAAAATATAAACTGATTAATGATTACAACATGGAAACACTAGCCCATATTTCATGAAAAGGCAAATGATCTTTCGAGCATCATTTCCTGCACTTCCACACAATGTCTAAGCACTACGGTCAGTTGTGAGGCCACCTGCACGCGGTATGTTTGTGCTACCATTATCGCAGACATGCTGCCCACACATGGGGACTGTGGTAATTATAGTGCCATCATCACATGAGTTGGCCTGGCAGACTAGTCTGCAGCACAATTAGCTCAGCCTCCAGATAAGTAGTTGAAAGTCGCGCCATGTATCATACGTACTCTGGGATGTGCTAACACATGTGATTGGTTGTAAGTATTGCTCTTTGGGCTACTAAATAATCCTAATTAAAGAAAATCAATGCCTCAGTTCCCATCTGATTTCAGTGTATAACCTTTCAGGATTTTGTTGCAGTGATTATCAGTGCAACACATGCATATCACACATGCAATTTCAAGCTTTATTGTTTTGTGGAAAGTGACTTATAACACATTTGCCTTTCTCATCACAAAGTCATGATAGTAAGGTACCTTCAACAAATCACAAGATACTGGCATCCATACTGGTAAGTTCAGAATTGTGTGTGTGTGTGTGTGTGTGTGTGTGTGTGTGAGTGAGTGAGTGAGTGAGTGAGTGAGTGAGTGAGTGAGTGAGTGAGTGAGTGAGTGAGTGAGTGAGTGAGTGAGTGAGTGAGTGAGTGAGTGAGTGAGTGAGTGAGTGAGTGAGTGAGTGAGTGAGTGAGTGAGGAGAGGAGAGGAGTGAGTGAGTGAGTGTGTGTGTGTGTGTGTGTGTGTGTGTGTGAGTGTGTGTGTGTGTGTGTGTGTGTGCATGTTTGTGTGTGTGCTGTGTGTGTGTGTGAGAGAGAGAGAGTGAGAGAGTGTGTGTGAGTGTGTGTGTGTGTGTGCGTGTGTGTGTGTGCGTGTGCGTGTGCATGTTTGTGTGTGTACCATTGAAGAAATGATGAGTTAACAATTGCTTCATTCAGTCTCTCCCAGTGACACTTCACTACTGTCTCTGTTACTTGCTTAGAACTATGGTATTGATACCAGACACTACTACAGTGAAACCTTCATAACAGTTAAAGAGTGTTGCCTTGACTGATACTATTGCTTTGAAGTGCCATGTAAAGATATTATATAGGCTTTACTAATATACACATTGCTGCCAACTTTGTATTCCTAGTTCCTGATACTTGTAGACTTCCACAAATAGATCTGTGCTGATAACAAAGGTAACCTATGTTTTCTGGTAAAATTGTCATAACAAATATAAAGAAATGAATTTGAATTATCATAGAGCTGACCTTTGAATGAATTTACAAACTATTTTATAAGAATCCTGTCAGTTCTTCACTTTGACAGACTGCATTATGATCAGAAGTGTGGTGAATCTAGAATTTTACATTAAGTGCGTGCTGTCAGGACACTGACTTCTGGTGTAGCATGAGGACTTATATGACCTGTCCTCACTCGTCCTCATTTGCAGGGACTTTGCAGACCACAGCTAATGTAGATTTATAGGCATTTCCACACTTAATGAAGTCAAATCACAGGGTCTCGATTTGGGTGCCTCCATTTCAATAGCTAGGCATTAAGGGCTAGCTATATCAACAGCATGTCCGCAGTTAATGGAGAGCTTGGACTACCATAATAAATTCTTGTCAAGACGAGAGCTTCTCGGAAATGGAAAATCTTGGAACATTAGGAAAGGAGGGATCCGGAAACCTGACGTTTTAAAAACCTGATTCTTGATTTAGATTTATGTCACTTGGTGTTGGCCAAGCAAATTTGCTGTTGTGGCCACGGAGATTGCAAGATGGCCGACAGTGACGAAAAATGTGCCAGTGTCTTTCATAGAAAAATAAGCTAGGAATGAACTCTTTTGACTTGTATGATAAAAAGTTAAAGATGGAAATCCCACAAAGCCAATTAGTGACTGAGTTTCGATTTATTTTGTTGGCATGTTGGAATCAATCTAGGGTCTAGATGAGAATAGCTTGTCCTGCCATGCAATCTGACCCCAATTAAATGAGCGACTATGTCAATTTCCACGTTCATTTCATGACAATGATTGGTTATAATAAAACTAGCCACAAAAAATATGGTAGGATGATTTGTAAAATATTTCTATAAATGGTTGAAGAAGATTCTCCAATATATTTCTTGGCTTACATAATACAGAAAAAAGCTGATTCTCATTATTTCTTGCACTAATGAATCTGTAAACTGATCTTAAAAGGATATTAATTTTCAATACCAAATCCTGTTGTCTGGCAGGAAGCTATTTCTTTACAAGAAAGTTTTATCAAACTATTCGAACAAGACAGTCTCACAGTCTCTAGGAAGAGAAAAGGGAACAAAATACCTTCTAATATATATAATATATCTTTATATATATATATATATATATATATATATATATATAGCCTTGTATGAGAAACATATTTTGAAATAAAACGTTATTTCATGTTTGTCCACAGATAGATAATTATGAATGGGTGTGTGGAAGATAACATAAACAACATATGGAGGTTATTGATTTTGTACAAGAATTTGAATTCAGTTACAAATAATCCTCATAAATTTTAATTAAAGCACCTCTGGCATATTCTGTATTTAAATTACAGCTTCTACTCCTCGGCATAGACAGAAGCATCTCGAATTACAGACACATCAAAATGCAGCAATTATATCAGGACTTAGTAGTGTTATATTACACCCAATGTGCAAGAAATACAGTTCTAGGTGAGCGAAATATCAAGACTGATTTAGTTCTCAAAATTTCAAAATAAGTATGGATTGGCAAATCTATATGTTCAAAACACATGATGCAAATTTAGCTTCAACATCTGGTAAATGACATTTTTGTCCATTTCAATTGAATTTTCTGACAAGTAAACTAGGATAAGTGAGTACTAAGTATTCTATTTATGAGGAGCCGGTCTGTAATGTAATTGGTAACTGTACACTGCTGTCAATGCTATTGAACCCTGAACAGATTAGTTGAGTCTTCTTGGTGCTTTACATCTACAAATTCACAAAATCAATTTCCTTATATGCCACAAATTGAACAAACATCAGATTAGTGAAAAAATGAAGCTTTGAGATATAGTTACATTTTATAATTAAATCATTAAATGAATAATACATTGGTTCTGGTATTTAAATTAAACTATTAAAACCAGGCCCCATGATATCTGATGCAATTATTAGAAGGCACACTTGTGTCCTATTGATATCCCAAGTTTATTTAAGAAGCACCATTCCATCTCTTTCTGTATGTTTTTCATGACTACTTTTCACAATGAAAAACAGACAAAAGGTCTAAATTTAGGTCTGTTCATTTTGATTGTGTAAAATGTCAGTGATCACTTAAGACTTTTTCCCATTGTACTATGTTTGTTTTGACCTAAGATTTAACATAACTGTATCACATAACCAGTCTGGCTTTCCTAACCTCAACACAGTGGAGTGCAGGGAGACTAAAATGAAGCCTATATTCATTCATAGAGTATATATTAGGTTATTTGCTACATACAAAAATTGACACCTTTGAGATAAAACTATAGACGTGAAGCAAATCTGGTCAATTGTAATTGAGAAAACAAATATAACTTATAAACAACAAGAATATGAATGGATGGCAGGATTTTTAAATTTTAATTGTGAGCTAGCAATAACATGACAAAGTTTGAATACTGACGATCAACAAACAGACTCAGATAGATACTGATAAGTTCTTGCATCACTGAAACATACTACAATAAACAGTGTCTGCAAACAGCTGCATTCTGTATTTATCTGCATTTAACAGCTGTACAAGGAATTCTAAATACCACAGCTGTAGCCATTGATTTCCATCCAAGCAACTACAACAAGCCATGAACACAAACATAACAAAGACTGTGACCATCAACTGCCACTCAAGAAACCATAAACATTGAATTCCTTACAACACTTACCTACACTATGCAGTTACCCACAGCAACTTCAGTATCAACATGTAAAACTACTTCCCTACAGACAAATCAGTTGTAAACCATTCCATTATTATGAAAATCATTAACAGAGACTTGATCCAATGAAAAGTACATATTGTCATTAAAGTAGAAAAATTATCACAATTCCTTTGTTCATATCTGACGTGATACTTGTGAAATTTCTGTAATTCATGGCAAGTCACACAAAGAGAAGTTGACTACTGGTGCATAAATGTACTCCATCCTGTAAACATACACATTAAACAACAACAAAGAGTAGCCTTTTCTATTTAAATAGTCATCAGGTAAAGAGCACATACGATAAACCTTTGAAATACACATTATGTGAAACCAGGAGTTAAAATCATGAACAGTAGTTTTAATGAAAGTAACCTTTACTTCACACAAAATGTACAGATGAAATAACCAAGATTAATCCCTTAGAAGTATACCAAGTCACAGATAGGTAAGTTGTTGCCATGTAATTAGTATATGCAGAGTACACGAGCTGCACTTGCAGTGCAAGTCCACCACCAAGCTGTTAGTAGCAGAGCCAGCCCCCCGATCACTTTTGTGACTATGCAATTTGTCTAATGTACAATTGCTAAATCACAAAAGCTGCCTGGGAGGATAGCAGTGAGTAGCATGTCAGAGTTAGGCAGCAACTGTTTTGTAAGTCATGGCAGGTGTCAGATCCAACCAAAACAAGGAGGCAGAAAACTGGTCATTAGATAGGCAAATGGAAAGACACTAGGATGACAGACGATTATAAGGCATGAAATTGTGCAGCTACCAATAACATTTAAATGCACTTTCTGTTGAGAGCAACTGTCAGCAATGATATCACATTTCCTGTCTATTACTTTAAGAATTTTTAACCAAACTGCAGATACACAAGAAAAATAACTTCAACTCAACAGCAATAATCTGAGAATGATCCTCAACCACGAGAAAGGCACAATAACCTGTTGTCAGGAGAATGCAACCAGACATTGTTAAGCAATAAATCATATAACAACTCAGTTTCCAAACTATCACTTCACAACATGGCAACATAAAACCACAGTAGTCATCCTCGAACACACTGTTGCGTATAAACATCTTCCCTTTCTGAACATTATGATAATTAATATTCACTTTTACCAGATGTTACTATCCTACTGAGGGTGATATAGTACGTTATTGTTACGCATATTGTACATGACTCATACAAATAGAATGAGAAAGGGTTACTGGGAAAATATGTATGATTATTATTAAGATAACCATTAATCACCTCTCTGATAATATTTAATTCTTTGAAGTTTATGTATTGTATGTAAATTGTATGGAATTGTTTTTTTATCAATTCAGGAGACACAACTGTTTTGGATATATGCATAGTATAAATAGTTGTTAACATATTACAAATACCAATTGTACAGACTTTGACTCAATAGCTTTGTTTGAATTTAGCTTGATTTTCACACACATTTCTTTCATTTTTAACAAAATAATATCATATCTCTGAATATGCCACTATCTTACATAATGCATTAATCAGCTTAATGTACACTTTATTTCACTCATCACTGGAACAGCATCAACTATTTCTAACGTATCTAACCTGTCTAACTGTAGTGTTAACTTTGTAGTGCACTTTGCAAATGTTACAACTTTGAAAGTTTGTAGCAATGTTAGTTTGTAGCGATGTTAGTTTGTAGCAAAATAGTTTGTAGCAATGTTAGTTTGTAGCGATGTTAGTTGATGTTCTATCTATACTCCAAGTTTTACATATAACTCTAAAGTAAAAATACAAACAAAATAATGGACATTGGTCATATTCATATACCTTTCAGAACTGACTCCATGTAATCATTTCTAAATGCAATGGAGTGTTATGTTCAACAGGTTGGAGGGTGTTGTGTGTTGTCTCACAGTGTACACAGCAATATTCTGACTATGAGACAATGATTGACATCGACCTTCACAACTGGGATACGACGACATGCAGCACCTAACCACCGATGCTTCCATCTCCTCTTACTGCACACAATGGTTGCTGAACACCACATTCTACCCAGAGTTTCACTGGGCGCTGACAGTGTAGAAGAGGTTTCATTTAATTGCTGCTTTGAAAATCATGTCAGCAAAATGTTGGACAATCACCAGCAGTGACACCTATGAACCTATGCCTGAGGCCACAAAGCAACCATTGACCGATACATTATTATGAATGACATACCAATATATCACCTCATGTGTTTTCAGTGAGTATCTATTCAAACACCAACCTTCTACTTGTGTCAAAGCTATGTACAAATGCCACTGTTTGTGTCAAATACTGCTATTGTATGCAAATGGCAGTATGAGCTGCATTAGAACTTGGAAGCATATGGCAGTATCTGGGATATCAGATAGAAGCACAACACATGTTGCATGTATCATTTGTTTATACAAAGTCCAAACTCCAGCCATTCTTGTTCTAATCCATTAGGATGAAGAATACTTTCTACAACAGTATTTGCCTCAGTATATAACCATATTCAAAGGTCACATGATCTTTATCGGACATTTTTAACAATGTGCCTAAGAAACCCAAACTAACTGAAATATGCATTATGCAGAAAGTATTTCCGTCTGGAATATGCTATGTTACAAATGGCACATGTGAAAATATTTCTTATATAAGACATTTTTACATGAATGATGTTAATGAAAGATAAAGTGGCATCTACTTTTCAGGCAAAATATTTTCACTCCCCCAACAAACAGACAGTGGCGCCTCAGAAGTATGTGAGTGAGTGAGTGAGTGATGAGCAAGCTGTACCTGCGGAAGTCCAGGAGTGCCTTGATTGATCCAGGTACGCAGAGGTTGGGCCAGGTGAGGAAGTGGAACTGGGTCACAGTGCGAGTTTCGTTAGTCTGCAAGTTCTTCAGGTAGAAGCTCCTCACCAGGTAGTCGTCACACCAGATGTGCTCTGACACAAGGTGTACCTGCGGCCAAATCAAATGAATATAAGCTGAAGTATAACACACTCTCTATCAGGAGCATTCACAAATAGTGCTAGTGATGTATCTTAGAGCCAGCTGTAACCAAGCACTTGTGTCAAGTAATGTGCATGATATATGATGGCTTAACCACCAGGTGTGTCGTATAGTTTTCAATATCAGTTTCTGTTGCCATGATTACCATGAATTCTAATACAGAAACAGCTGCAACAGAGAATAAGAGTGTTTCTAATAACTAGTTTGCAGACAATAACATTTCTGGCTTAATCAGAAATGGTCATTTGATTAAGTATGAATTTGTTGTATTGGGCAACAGTCCTACCTCGTAGATGTGGTAGAGATCACTTCCTTCCTCTGGCCAATAGCGATGACACATAGCTGTTCCAGTCTCTGTCAGTTTGGACAGCATCACGATGACCACACTGCCTTGTTCCCAAACCATCTACACAGACCATAAACAGTAAACTGTAACTGCTCACAGACCACACACACACATACCAATGATGTAATGCTAACCATTAACAGACCACACACCACACACACAGACCACACACATACCAATGATGTAATGCTAACCATTAACAGACCACACACACACACCCACACACACACAGATACCAATGATGTAATGCTAACCATTATCAGACCACACACACAGACCACACACACATACTGATCACGTAATGTTAACCATAACAGTTCTCTCTCTCACACACACACACACACACACACACACACACAATCACACACAATGTTGTGTTAACCATTAACAGTACACACACACACACACACACACACACACACACACACACACACACACACACACACACACACAGAGATCATGCAATGTTAACCATTCACACAAAATGCACACTGACACATCGACAGGCCATCTACTCTGCCAAAAGAATAGTTTCATCAATCAGTGATCAAAATCTACTTCGTCAGTTAATGAAGTGCATGATGTTACTGATCTCATTTCTCTAACCTTTCTCTAACTGTCTGACATACTTACAGACAATGGAATCAAGTAGTTTCGGAATTGTTATTCCCCCGGTCCCCAAGTATTACCTGCCAGAAGTCGGCTACGGTGTGAGGTAGCGGTCCCTGGGTAGCGATGAAAGCAGGGTTGCGGGGGTCATGGTCCGTCTGAAAGAACAAACAGTATCCATCATAATGATCAATCACACATTTATCTTCCAGTCAAATATAACAAACAAAAATAATAGATGGTACATAAGCAGTGTATGAAATAAGTTTGAAAAATAGCCAGCCTGAATGTGATAATTTGTCTAAAATGTGCAAAATTAAACTAAAACTTCCAAAAGTTGCCAACCCAGACCAAAAGTTACCAGGTTACGGGCTGTCGGACAGGTCTTATTTCATACTATGTACATAAGTCTTGATTACAAAACAGTTCTACTGATCTTGTAGAATTCACTTGACGTCATGCTATCCCAGTACAGACAAGGGCTACGAATCAGTCAGTTACTTATGGCAAATGACTAAACATTGTCAGATTCAAACTTGGAAAGTGATGGGATGTAAACAGACAAAAGGAAGTTTACAAAAAATAAAGTATTACAACAGCAGCTATATTTTGTAGACTTTTCCACAACATACTGAAAGAAGTACTGCTGCAGAAAGAAACCATTCTTAGAGTGACACCAGCTCCTATACTGACCAAAGAATGTTTTGTGGAATAGCATTCAGAATTTGTAATCTCTGTAACATGACAAATAACTTCTCATACCTGGGGTATTTATTTATCCCTTTAGCTTTACACTGGACTCAAAAGTCCATTCAGTTTCTGTTCTAATTGAATCGTTACTGAGCTGTAATATCTTTGGCTATCCATCATTACATTGGGATATTATTCTTCCAGTGGCATTCAAGGTCCATCAACTTCCTCCAAACTATTTTGTAAATGATTGGGTCATTATGATTTTTTTCTGCTTTCCCATAACACAACACGCTAATGGTACCCAAGATTCCTAAAGCATTACGAAACATTACCTGATTGTCAAGGCATGACAGAGAGTGAGTTCTTGCTTAAAAATGAAATGTTTAAGAACGTTTTATTTTGTCCCCATTCCAAGCAGCAGGCACTTTGGCAAACAGTTGAGAGTGCGTATTAATTATTTGCTTAAGCCGAGATCAATCTGGAGACAGTTAATTCATACAAGTAGTTTTCAGGCAAACAATAGTCACATCACTCTAATCGATTGACCTCGGTTTTTCAAAACGATTTGGGAATGGTCGGAAAATGTGGATGTGGTCTTATTTTCTTCGATGAATGACATGTTGGAAATAAATGAGAATCAATTTGGACATTGTCCATCTGTTTTCACTCAGGGGCAAGTCAAACAACCACACTCAAGTTGGAGCCAAACATTTCATATGCTTCTTTCAAGGAAATGTGAATCACTTAAATATTTATAGATGAATTATAGTATATTTCTCAGAGTTAAGAAAACAATTCAAGCATTCTGTACTCTTAGATCTAACTGAAAAATGTATGATGTTGATATTCAATTAGAAGTCTATTGTTTGAACTTGTTTCATGTGTGAACAACCTGCGGCCTCTAAGAACACACCTCTGTTAATTGGACAACATAAGAAGACTTGGTGAGTCTTTCATGTGAAATATTACTTTATCCTTTAATAGACAAAATATGAATTATCAATAATTACAAAAATATTACTGTTAATGAATCTATTTGTGGTACATATTATCATGAGAAAATTGCTTAAAGAAGAACCTGGAATATGCTCAATTGTCTTTGGACAAACCAGCATCTGTAAGCCATCTTTAATTCCAAGAATGATATATATCTCAACGAAACAAACTCAACATTGAGTTTCTTCTGATTTTGATGCCTTTCATCCACAAACTGTTAAAAAGGATGCTGAGGATAATATGACGGAGGTGAACCTTATACATAAGTGTTATCAATCAACAGATGCTGAGCTTTCAGAACGTCTTTGATAAGAAAGTGAGAAGGAGACTTTCAACAGAACCTGCTCTCAAACCTGTAGGATAAAAGGCACTCTCAATCAAAACAAGTAACACAATAAACTCCTTTGATAAAAAATGGAAATTTCCAACTTAATAATGTTGCGCCATGATCAATATGCACTAAGAATTTAAAACAACATAGCTACGTTATAACATACTGAAGACAACCTATTTTCCAAACATCTTAATGTATGAAGAAGCCATTTCCTCAAAGGCAATATTTGACAAATGCGGTCTTCATAACAATGTTACATTTTTACTACTTACAATAATCAAAAAGAAACTTAATATTCAGATAATATGGATGAGTCAAAATCTTTCCCCTGGCTGTTTTCACCTTTCATGATTATCCCAGTATGCTTTGCAAGCCGTATAGCGCAGTCCTCGTCTGTCTTGGGATCAAGCTCTCTACATTAAGGAAGTATCACTCTATCTCACGTTTTACGATCCGGTTGCAATAGACGCATTCACTGTCTGATCCTAGGTGATATTTCCAATGTCGTAATACCTCATGCCTAGGGAAACTCACAGATTGGGATGGAGAGAAAACTTTCCCTTGGGAAAAATCTTTTTTGAGGCTCTCAACCAGGGATAACAAATACATGAAATATTTTACAACTTGTACTTGTGAAATAAACCCATGAACCACATTTGTAAAGCTGGCTATAATTCAGGGGGATTAGGGAAAACGTTTCATCATATCCTCAGTAAGCGCCCCCTCTGTGTGATTACCTGCTCTAACCTAGTGTTGTTACAATTTATGCTGAGGAGTAATAAAATCAGTGGATATATATTGGTAGGAAGCAAATCAACCTTAATATACTTAAAACTGCTTTATTCCCAAATGTTGTTTGTTACTCTGATAAATAAGCACTAACACATACAATAATTTGCATCTATCAGAAATATGACTACATTTGTTGATAAATTGTTGAAAATAATTGTCATAATAAGATTTTTGTCTTTCAAAATACATCAGATATCTATATTCTGTGAGCACCAAACTTTATACCTACACAAAACAGTCCAAGTATTTCACATATATAATCCATGTTAACCTACCATACTTCAACATAAAGAAAATATAAATAACAATCCAGAAAGTTTACCGACAGAAATTCTGCAAACAGAAACTGAAATATTCTTAAGTCAAATCTGTTTATGGTTTAAAGAAACAAAACAATTTCATTTTAATGTTTTGGCAATTTATTGAGAAAAATTAACTGTGTAATATCATGCAAACAATGCTGACAAGACAGCAATACATACAAAAGTATGTGAACTTTAAACTAATTTCCTTTATCAAATCATTAATGTTTTCATACATCCAGAAAGTTATGTTCAGTAATTTAATACTTGCAAATATTACAAACACTCTCAATGCAATTAAATGTGAATACCAAAGGTGGTTCTCCCAAGTTTATACCTCAAAATATAATCTAATATCTTTAACAGAAATAAATACTGCCAAGGATCATATTATGATATTTTATGGAAACAATCTAAACTCTATTTGACCTGGCAAGTAAATCTTCAGCCATTTCCAAGCCAAGAGCGACAATTAACTGCCAAACTCATAACCCACAAGGAACTTTATGTCGATTCCTCTGAAGCAATCACATGCTCCATTGCCCCCCTCTGATGGCATAATTCTATCTCAAATCTTAAGAAGTCTTTGAAAATTAAAAGATGCCAGTACTCAATGATAAAACTCATAAATTATATCTCTGTCACAATCCTGTAATTATCAAATACATTAGGCTGTTAAAATGCTTTGACAAAGCGAGAGAAATCATTTATTTATTGCACAGCGATGCTATTCATTCGTTATGACAGAATTCACGGGCTGGTGCTTGTACAGGTATTGTCTCATATTGTATCATAGTACAGTGTGTGTTAGAGTATCTGCTCAGCTGTGGCAATGGTGGTGGTTAAAGACTTGTCAGTACTTTGAGTCATACATTTTATGTTTAACAAAAAACAGACAGAATTTAATTTATGTGTATTTGAATCTGATACCATATGTGCCCAGTTTATATTACAAAACTTAATTAGATAACTTTAGACAATATTTGTTCATATTTCATGCAAAGTACATTAATATGTCAACATGTTTAAAACTTATACACGTCAGTGTTCCCAGCACAAACAAATGGTTCAAAGTACATATTTTTGCAACAATTTCAGTAATTTAAGATCAAAACTATCAGCTCTGTGTCTGACAAATGTTTTGTAACAAAATTAAGTTGAGTGAATCACAGTCACTTTGGAGCTGTATGAAGTCAACATTGGGGGCAGCTGCAGACATACACTGAATCTGAAAGCAGTCATTTACTTGATTTATTCAATTGAGCTTGCCATGCATAAAGTATATACACTTATTTAGATATATTTCTTACTTATGTTCTTTGCTTTATTACCATTGCATGATATAGAGCCTATAGTGAATTTGTTTACCATAAATGTCCATATCTTGGTATTGCGTGTGTTAATCATATATCAGCATTTGCTGGGTAGCCACTGTGAGGGTCTATATGTGGGTATATTCCCACAAAAGTATTATTTTCACATTTTTCGCTTCATAAACATTCAAGCAGCTGATACAATCTGCAACATCAACCACTTGTCTCAATCCCAAGTGAATTATTGTTTTGTCTGGTGTGCTCAGCAAATAACACATTAAGTCCACATTATAAGAAATTAGAATCTACTGAAAATGCTGCCATGAGACAATTTGGGGCAAGTCGACTCAAACGGTTTTTGCTAGAGACTGCTAATGCAGTTTGTGGTACCATGCCTTGATTCAACTTGTTTAAAGGTTTGGAGGCAGACAAATCCACTGACAAAAGTACTTTACAGCCCCAGAAAGATACATTTCTTGTGTAATGCTATTTTGAACCACATGTCAGCATTATCACAATAGAGTGTCAAAGTAATAAAACATTGCACCTTCAGTCTAATACACAATGTTATAGTGCTGACGTCACACCAAAGAACCAGTTCGATTCCCCACAGGGGTACAATGTGTGAAACCCATTTCTGATGTCCCCCACTGTGATATTGCTGGAATATTGCTAAAAGCAAAGTACAAATAAACTCACTCACTATGCTGCTGACAGACAAGTTGACTATAATTAAGTTCAAATACACTAACAGTGGATCCTGGCCACAGCAAGGGACATGATTTGGCACAGCTTTCTCTCTCTCTCATAAGAACAAACACAAAGACTCACGATGAAATTTGCATTGATGTAGTCAGATCCAGAAACATTTGCAGCAGTTGAAATGACGACACGAGAGTGGTCATCTGCAAATAAAATAAACATTATAATCAGACATTTAAATAATAAGGTTGAATGCACAGCATTTGCCTACCCTGGATGAAAGAACACTGCTCACGCAGTGTATCTCTCAAATTATTATACACCAATAAAATATACCAATAATATTCTGATACCTAGTGTGTAGTTTCATGGGTATTTTTATTAACCATAATTACTTGTGATGGATCTTTGTGAGATGTCTAAAGATTATGTACAACATCTTCAATTATGTTTGGTTCTAGGGTTACCATACAATCATATAATGCCAACACCGATATATACATAAAAACATTCACTTGTACTTCTTCCAGTGCATGAATGGTCATAAAAAAAGCCTTTCAAACATCTGAAATCATTTCATATCACAACTAACACTTTAACAACATAACCATGGCTGCCAATTTGTTTACTTTCAAACCTCCAAAATAAAACTGCTCCAACTATAATCAGGACACTGGTCATATGTAGCCAAATTCCACCAACACGGAACCAAGCACACATTTACAAAACAGAAACTGATCAAACAATACTTAATTCCAACTGCATGGCTGCATTCATGTAATACTGAACAATGTAAAGACTATACAGATTTAGATTTAACCATGGAACATAGTTTGAACATCTTAACCAGTAATGAATATTCCTCAATACCCAAAAATAGAGCTGGACTGAAGCCAGATTGTTGTGACTGACTAGGAGTCAACCCTGGGCCACTGTCACAGATGACCCTTTCATCACATGCCTCATTGGACCGTTAACTCCTGCTTAGAATGCTGCAGACCCTTCCACAGCCCACGGCTAAGTAGCAGCTAGTTTTAAAACTAATATCAGCCATGTTCTATTTCCCTTTGGCATAATACGTGCCTATAATACAAGTTGGGCAAGAAAGAAGTAATAATCTATTGCTAGCCTTTCAATTTTCTTTGCGATATTCCACATGCCAAGAAAACCTGAGTAGGATAAAACAGATTTCCATTGTGGGTGAACTCGGAGTGACATTGTACATTATTGTAGGGCTCCGAAGCCAGACCTGTTTACTGCTCTATAATAATGCTTGCCGTGACACTGATTATTTTGGGCAAATAATTATGATATAAAATATTTCAAACCAATATTCAATTCATTTACATGAAAGACCAAAATAGCAATATTGCTTTTTCACTGAATGCATCAATAGAATTCTTTGTCCAAAACGTTGTTGTTATTATTCTTAAGAATCATTACTTTGAAGATGGCATTCTGACTGCAGAATTTCAATAAACATTGAGACAGAAGGCTTCATATAATAAACATGATTTAGTTCCCAAACAAAACAGATATCAAGTTTCCAATTTTGTTGCATATTCACAGCAAATGAAAAAAAAATATTTTTTATAATGTTACAATATTGTAGGGGAAATTAAGAAAATGTAATCATAAACTACAGATATATAACTTATTTGTAAAGTACATCTCCTTCCAATTCAGAAATCAAAAGCCAATCTAGTCAGTTTAAAAATATATAGCTCCATGATGAGCAGAAAACATCACCTGAAATTTACAGGGAAACCAAATTTACTCTTGTGATTTAAGAAAGCAATTGTCACAATGACAAATCAAAACTGTGACACAACTAAGTCAACTCTTTGTGTTTTATATTGAATTAATGATATATTACTGTCTGTCAGGCCAAGTATATATTCCCATATAAAACATCGTACAACAAACAAAATTTAAAGGACATTTATCCCTGTAAACTGTCAGTAATAAATATATCTCTCAGTTGTTAGACACATGGAGTAACTCTTAAGATGTGTAGTTGTGAAATCAGCTGCATGTGTTTGGGGAGACTAGCATTGTTTAGAGACGGGTGATGTAGGATTACTTTGAAAGACATTAATGACTCCAAGCATGATACAAATAGCAATAAATAATTAGATTTCTCTGTACAAATATATTTTTCACTAAAAATGCTCAGCTGCCTGATCTGTCACATAACAAGAGCTTTGTAAACCTGTTCTCGAAAAAAATAATTTGCTTCACTTCTAATCCATGTTTTCTATCAATATTCCTGGAAACCATTGCCAAAGAAACTCCAAGTATTGACAAGCTGTTCTGAATGAGTCAAGATCAAATCAATTACAAATCTTTATCTCAGAGAAATAATTTCTGGAATAAAGAATTCAGCAAGCTGAGCAAACTAGATCTTGTTGCACTTCCATCCTGTCAACAAATACACAAACGAGGCTCAACTCAATAATGAGTTCTTGATCAATTAGATTCATTAGTGATAAGTCTAGGTTATGTAAAGCCAATGGTTATTGGTAATGACAAACGACTTGCTGCCCCTGTTGTTATGCCGACAGGGCTGAGACTTCCTGTGCATGATCACGGCAAACTTCCGAACACGTGAAATAAACAGCGTAATTGCGCGCACAGCTCTTGCTGATCGGTGACAGGTTTTTGGTTTCGTCTATGAATAATCAAAGCTTGAGGAAACTGCAAGCAATGTTTGGCCAATGTCCTATTCTTTCCGAGTTGCAAATCATTTGATTTATAGACGTTTTGAGTTGAATGTGGTCATGTATTATGCATGTGCATGCACACTGTTGATCTGATGCCATCGTGATAATCAGATCCGATACCTCATGATAATCAGATGCTGGTCTAACAGGATGTGTGTGCAATCAATGGATGATGGTGCTCAACCAGAACTCCATGGTATGGACATAGCACAACTTTTGGGATCCAGCATTCATAAATTACTTCATAAATTTCTTTCTCATTGGATTATATTATTTATACCAAGAGTCATAATTGAAACAAACTAGAACAACATACCCAAAACTAACTTACTGAAAATAAATATAAAGAAAACACCAATGTAACCTCTGCAATATTTACTACTGCAGGGTTGACATAACATGATTATGAAATACCTTGCAAGATGCAGGACAATTTGTGATCACAACTGATGATTATAAATCTGTCCTATTTTATGAAATTTATAATAATGAGAATATTTCCAGGCTAGACATCCAGCTTAAAGTGGACAATCTGATCATTATTACCCCGGATAACCCAAGCTGCCCAAGGGGCTGGAAATGAATCTTGGTTAAAATGTACATACAGGGTAGGATGTCGCCATATCTGTTCTTGCGAGTGTTGGAAGGGTCAGCGGCGACTGCGGTGGCACATGGGTCAGCCTCATATGCACACAGCGCCTCCCACTCCTGGTCAAGACGGTCCTGGTTCTTCAGATGGTCCTCCATGTAAGACTACAACCAAAAACACCAAGTTGAGGAACAGCACATGCAAGTCATATAACAACCATCAAAACACATACAAATCAGCAAACAAAACCACCAAAAAACACAATTTAAGGAACAAAACAAAAACTATAAACTAAAGCCTATACAAAACTCTCTTATAATTCATATGATAATCCCTAATTGTAAATGCAAATGGTGTATTTTATGAATAAGGATTCAAATAAAATATGTCAAATTGATTCACATAAAAAATCTGTATTTCTTTGTTCAATCTTCGAACCAGTGCCATGGCTATTTGTGCTCCACAAGTTGATGCCAGCTGAAACCTACTCATTACAACCAAGACATGTAAAAACCATCTGACAGCTCAACGGCCTTAATAACAAGCTTGGCCTATCTATCCATCAAAATTCATTAAAACTCCCCAATTTTGTAATTCATGCTTTTGAAAGTGCATCATGTACATTAGCACATGGGTGTAGAATCAAATTAAACTGTCAACTGGTTTGATCTGGACAAAAGTAAGGTAAGTGACATTTTCTGTGGGTATTATTCCTCCCCGGATGAGACAGGGATGGTGAGTTTCACTGACATAGTTGTACACCTTGTTGACACGGTCATAGATTTTATTGATATTCATATCTGTGATAATCAATGAAGACCCATTAACTCATATTTGACAGGAAATAGCATGCTGGCTTGGCAATTTACACCTGCCCCTTTCATCTTGCACATTCTATTTATCGACTGTTTACCTGTGTAATTTATACTCCAGGTGGGCATTATATGGCCCAAGGAACAGTGTAACCAGGTTTAGACCTCAGCTTACATCAGTTTTAACAAAATATTCATATATCATTATTTGTTTAGCTGGAGTCACTAAAGGCGAGTTAATCATAAAGTGATTTTCATTCAGCAATGGAGCATCTACTTGACTGTGATTACTTGATTTTGAGGGCAATGATGAATCATCCATCATTTGTCCAGTCATAAGATCACTTCGAAAACCAGGTACCCTGTTTATTTGTCTGGCCCAGAACGCAACAATAAATCTTAATATTTGATCTGAACTATCTATCTGTAACTGCACCCTCAAGACCTTGATTTCAAAATTCAATTTTCACTCCAACCAAAAAGTCTCAGTTTTTAACCAATAGCATTTTGCCTGCCATGCCATAATCATGAGTTAATCTTGGATATCCAGGACAAAAAGAATATTGTTTTCAACAGCTGGAAAACAAAATTGGAAATGCCAGAGTTAAAAAAAATGATCAATACCTAAATGTCACAATGTTTGCAAGAGAGAACAATTTATTTCCAAAAGTCTTTCAGCATGCAAATTAGCAAATCGCTTAAATGAGATTTTTAGCTGACGGTTCCATGGCCAATTCCAATGTATGGGGCATGTATCTCTCTGTATGAGGCCAGGCTGACAGTTACTCTTATGTACTCATGCACAAGTCCTCAGCCTCATGGTACAGGTCTATAGTCAGCCGATTGGAAAAATGTTGTCATTTATTTCTCTTCAGAATTGTTCTCCGAGTCGTGAGGAGGGCAGAAGTGGTTAGAAAGTTATCACCAAACTGTCGTATGAATTGGGTTGCTGGGAGACCAATTTTAAAAGCAGGGAGTGCGTTAAATTTGTCTGAGAGTGTAGCAAGCACTTCCTGGCTATTTCAACCAGGGAGACGCTTGTGATTCCTGGCGAGTGTTATCCGAGAGTCGCCATAATGGCCACATCACGTCAATGTCGAAACCATCTGTCATATAACCGGTCCATTGATCCAGTGATACAAGTACCACATTAAAATCAATAACTGCTGCACGCTAATCATCAGCTCCCAATCAGGGCACACAGGATTGCGCTACAGGGTTCCAGACCCTCAAAAAGTTTTATGTCCTCGGGGCCATGATGCACAGATGTGTTGAAGATAGTTTCACGATTTTTTTGGAAATAATTCAGTAATTTTTTCAGAATAATTTTGAATTCCTATTCTGCAAAGTGCATGTGGCAATATTTAATTCAAGAATATAAAATTATGTTCATAAAATGTGTTTCTACCTTAGCATCCTTAGTTTGAATACTAGAAATTTATTAAATCAAAATTCTTCAAATTGTAAAGGACCTGATGCTAAAATTTTCACTCATTTCCTTGATACAATCTCAACAACTGCACAGTTTCTTCATTAGTTTTTACATTCTGAATTGACATTATTATCACTTACAAAATACTGTCTCAGCATTTCAAAATTATTAATTGTCTTGAAGTACTGAATATCCCCACTAAAAGAAATAACAAGAAAAGAGTAAAAACCTTTTAATGCTACAAACAATGTGTTTGTAATGATAGACTACATGGTATTTCAGTGAGTGTATATTTTAGTTTCTGAATTTACTGAAGGATGAAAACACCAATTAAATTAGTTACTTACATATAATCAGCATCATTAATATTCTATGTAGCATAATTCTTAATTCTTTAATTCTTATATTAATTTTGATTTCCAAAAAGCACCATTGAATTACACATTTAAAAACAACAATTTCAGGTTTCAGTGACTCCCATTCATAGCTATGCAAGGTCTGATAAATGGGAGACATGGAGACTATGATCTTGGATAGTAATTATCTGCTAATAACTGTCAGCATAATAATTATACCATGCCTGACTCATACATTTAAGTTTGGGATATTCCACAAAATATATCTAACTGCAATGACCATATGGTACAAGATTTTGAATGGCCCTTGCCATGTAACTATTCCATCTATATCAAACAAACTCCATGAGACCTGATAAACAGAAAAGTATAAGAAACTTCTAAAACATCTCACAAAAAAATAAACGGTAAGTCAGTTAATAAATATGCTACAAAAATGGAATATGTAGTCAGGCACTCTCATGCAGTAGACACGTCCATTTAAATACTGAAAAATTCAGGATTGTAATTACTAAAAAAATCAAACTCCAACCAGGTCAATTTTTTGACAACACAATGACTTCTTATGTATCTACAGTTGTACAAAGTTTGGAAAGTGTATGTGCCTGATAGGACACAGGAGGAAACACCATCTGTTAGAGACAGTTCTAGCTCCATTCCGCTGCTGCAACAACCTGCGTGGAGGCAGCGCTGACAGAGGCTGCACAGCAACCTGTGTGTGGCGCCGAGTGCGGTGTTGACGACAGCATTATCACTAGGTCTCATTCAGTATTCACAAATATTGATTCTCTCAGAGTTGTCTCTACTCACCAGAACGATGTGCCCCGTCGATATGTCCATGTTGGATGCCACTGGCTCCTCGCTCCTGGAAGACGGTAAATAGATAGTTTCAGTTCTACAACATGGAGAGACATCGTACACACAGCACCAATCTTTAATATGAACAAAATCCTCGTCATCCTTCTCTCCAGACATAACGAACGAGGACACTAATTAACTATGTGATCGTAAATCCGGCAGGGACAGCAGCCATTTCATTCAGATCCCCTCCTCCTCCACTCTCGTAGTTCCCATGACTGCGACAACACAGCTAAATCATTAAATTGCATAGAAATAGGGCTAAGGATGAAGTCACATGCTGGTTATTTTCAGAATTCAAACCAGCAAGTGTGTATCTGTTATGTGATGCCGTTGACTGAGGTTCCACCTGCAATCCTCCCCAGTGATAAAGCCTCCCAGTCTGGGATAACGAGGTGGGCAGGCTCTCTCCCTTATCACAGGTCAAAATCTCCAACACAGATAATCACAAATAATAATCCTCAATGTGAAAATAACCCTGGTCCACAAATAGATCCTCCTCCCCTTGTCACCCAGTCATCCTACGCCCTCACAATATTGCTCCAGACCTTCACAGACTCAGCTGTTTGATCATGCTTAATAAACATGTTCAACATACTGTAACTGACATCATCCCTGTCCTGAAGGTATCTCAGTGTCATGTATTTCCATTAAGATCAATTACAGATACTAAAGTTCAAAATACATTTCCGATATGGAATTAATATCTTTGGATCACTTTTTCACAAATGACAAATAACACTTTTCCACACCAGAATCTGTTTTGGGTACATTTCCCACAGTTTCAACCAGCAGCAACTTAGATACATGTGATATACTGTCCCCCTCAAGTTTCCATAGATATGCAGTGTTTTGATGTGTATTGACTTGAATCGGGTTTTCTCCACCATATGTTCTCCTCTGAATCACTGACAATGGTCACATATGGAATATGCTTTGTAACAAGTACTAATATCTATAATCAAAATCAATATGTACTTTGATTGTACTGAGCATTCTCTCAGGAATACACATATGTTTGAAGAACTGTGCAATTCTATTTGATTCCATACACAAATAATCTTTTCTGAATATACACCACAAAGGGCTGGAGGATCTTCATAGGATATGCTTGAGGTCAGAACACAGACAGCAAGACCGATCCATATGTAACTTGAAATAACTACACATGTCTTATTTTCATCCCTGTATCAGATGACCTGTCTACTGGAATATTCTCAGCCATGTAAATCAGAGTCTCCTTGTACACACCACCTCTACCAGGTCCTCCTCATGTGGTCAGTGAATTCTCCTGGTTTTCCTGTGTCAGCATGAACAGTGCCACAATGTCATGGTAAACTACCAAATGTCCAGGTCACTAGTCTTGTGAAAGCTAAGATTGTATCTTGTTTAAAAACTAAAGCCTGGATTGACAGTTTGTCTTTCCTGTGTAAATTTCTGCACTAACACCATCCTTCTAAAACAGATCAGTTCTCACTGACAACCAGAACAAATCAATCTGACAGATGCCATTTCTACATGTGTTCAAATCTCCATGGCTATAACCTGACCATGCAACACTCCCAGGAATACCATTGCCATCAACTCCTCCCTACAGGCCTGATGCAACACTGTCTCCATCAAGTCTCACAACATCCCCACAACATACTGCCATGGAGATGTTTCCTCCGACTTGCTAGTACAATGGTAGACATGGCAAACAAAGACGTCATGGCAGTCCCCAGAGGATTGACACCACTCTGCCCATGTCTGACACAGATAGAAAGACGCCGCTACACAACAGTGCACGCCTGTGACCCTTCACGGCCTTCCTGAACGTTCAATGAGAAACACGATCTATGTGAAAAGCCAGTGTTGTTGTTGAATGCCTTAAACTCATGGAATTACATTAAAGGGATCGTAACTATCTATAAATAGATGTCGGCATTCACCACTGGATGCAGCATCCTGCAACCTGGATGTGGTTTTATCTGATGCTGTGTTTTCTATTCAGGTTTATGTTATCACAGAAACATATGGACCAGCTGACACACAAAAAGGTCATGGTTGAGAGGTTATAGGTCAGTTCTAGTCGGATCAAGCTGTGAATAATGTTTCCACATATATCATGACGTGAAGTATTGACATAGGAATGATGGGATCTGTTAACCCTACTTAAAATTCTTATTGATGCTCAGGATAATCTGTTTGTCCTTTCTAGAAACATGAAAATGTTATTTTGTTTAAAATGATTTGAGGCAGCATATTCATTCCACAAACAAAACTGAAATTTATTTGTGTACATAACTTTGATAAAACAAAAAGATATATATACTCATGGCAACGAATAAGGGAACACATGAAAGTACAAGTGTTCCCAGAATTCCTCCCACAGTGCAATACATACCCTGTGAAGAAACCTGGAAAAGAATAAAGGAACACTTGTACTTTCATGTGTTCCCTTATTCGTTGCCATGAGTATATAATATGAAGAAGCATGAATATATTTGATTTAACTTAACTTATTTAAATACAAGACCTCCTAAGTTATTTAAATGAAATGAGAACTATATGGTATATACTTGTAAGAGCACTTTAACCTACACCTGCAATATCTAAAATAGAATTTGAATGTTACTCTCTTTTTAAATATTTAGTCTCATTGGAACTACAAGTCTTTATGGATGATCAACTATCATACAATAGTGACGTTTTGGTATAGATACTAATACCGTTTTCATCTATACCGAAACATCGCTATTGTATAATAAAGAAGTTGATCATCCATAAAGACTGGTCGTTCCTATTACCTACAACTTCCAGAATGCCTCTCAAACAGTTAATTTAATCTCATGATAACAGAAAAGAAATTCTGAATTCAAGTTTGACATTTTGAATAAATTTCTAATAAACCCCCAAAAGTAAAATCTGATAATTACTGTTTGTAAAACCTCCCTGCAAATACCTTGTAAATTTTGCCTTTTTCCCACTTGACTGCCATACTAACCCACAATGTTCTGATGCCCTGAAAGCCCTGTATCATATTGATGTTGTGCCTTTAAATGAGGTTACACGGATCAGAGGTTTCAAATTACAGTCTAATGCACTTTCATGACTTCTTCTGTGAGGAATTCAATATTTCATTACTCTATCAATCCATGTTTTTCGACTCCCAACAAAAAGCCCTTCAAAACCACATCACTGATGATTGTCTGTTTTGATGATAGCCACTGTCAGATCATTGTCTTTTTTCCTTATTTTATGTCTGTGCTGGCAGATCCCTATTTCGAATACTGACTGTTCATCTCTGTCCATAAATGATGGGAGTGTTCTAAGACAATCATGGGTGTATTGATTCATTACATAATGCATTTTCAGGTGCTAAAAGTGTTATGGCTTTTAACAATAAAATTACCAATTAAGTGATTTACGTTTAGCACAGGTACTATTTACCAAAATGTAAAGATCAGAAATGTGCAAAATCACTTTTACATTATGAATTATCAATATAACATTGTCAATTTTTAAAAATGAAAACCAACGAAACACATGCAAACAAGGCAAAGGTTTAAAAAATAATCAAAAGATTCAGGATTTGTCAAATATTCTGTTAAAAGAGCATTTATTCAAATATCCTGCTAAAACCTTTGAACCAGTAAGAAGGGTGGCTTAAATACCTTGTGTGAGTAAAGCCATGTTTGTCGGCATCCAAAGTGGCTTGATTACCCAGGTATTAACAAGGCAGATTTGTCAAAAGATGTGTAAATTACAATCTTTTTTCCCTCCTTAAACCCACCCTACTATCCTCCATATTGATTGGAGGGTTGGTTCCCAGTAGACAAGCCATCAGCTCAGCCCGAGCCATCTTTCATGTTCTACCAAGATAAAAGCTTTTTTCTCTTTCTACTTCTAATCTGTCCATAACATGCTGTTCGAGACCCAACAAGTCTATTTTCATCAAAGCACAAACCTGTCAAAAATTGGACATTGCCAATACCGTATAGAGTTTCAATTTGCTTCTGAAATTGCAGTGAGGAGGGAAAGCGTATCCCACAATTCATTTGTCGCTGCAGGAGGATAATTTGCCCTGTTACCATGTTTACAGAATGAATTCTGCAACAATCGACCCAACCTGCTCACAATTTGTCCATCATTTTCCGCACTGAGGTTTTTGAAAGGTTTATTTCCGTCAACAACATTTTGGCAAAATTGACATGGGAAATGATTTGGTGATGAAAATGACATCACTTAAGAGTATTATGGAAGTTTTTTCAAATGGGATTGTCAATATGCAAAAGTTTAACTCTCAGTTTTTGACAGATCCACTTTAGTTTTTGGCCCTTGTGAAATGCAACATCTAGGTTTTATTAGTGGCACACATGCTTGACAGCGAAACATGTCATTTGTCAAGCAAAATAGACCATCCAGCCACAAATCTAAACATATAGCAAAGAGGATTATTGAAACCCTTAAACCTGTTCTTAACAATTCCAATATTAATGTCAGTACAGATTAAGTTGTATAGATTCTCAGCTATTTTGCCAAGTTCCATTGATTCCAGAAAAGATTACTGTCATACCTAGTTGCTTGCCACTCCTGTGAGCGTGTCTGGTGACCTCTGATGACCTCTATGATCAATGGTTTTGTCTGGTACCCAGTGCCTAGTTAGACAGTACCTAAACACAGAAAATCCCCGGTTTCCGTCTCTCGTTGTCACTCCACACTAACAGCCCCTCTAATGCACCCTCTCATTTTAATTGGCCTCAACCTCAGCACACCATTGCATCATATATGAACCAAGATTTGGACCAGAGCTTGTCTATGCATTTTTACATTCATAATATTGCATTATTTTTTCAAAGATATAAGAATGGAAAGGTTTGGCAGGGCTTTCAATGAAGCTGTAAAAACAAGCTTCAATTTAACTACAGTTTATCTTTTAGAATTTTGTTACTGCTTATCAGCATAAATGTTTGAATTACCATTACTTCCCCAACCTGTTTAACTTAAGTGCTAGTGCTGCAAGTC